GGCCCCAGCTCAGGTGGAGTGGGTTAGCCTACCCAGAGACATGCCTGCCACCCCAGATAGAGGCATGGGCGCTCAGCACCTGGACCTGCCGTCGAAGCCTTAGGCCCTGCAGGCTACTCAGGACATCCTAGTCCTACCGGTGCCTCCCACGCTGGCTACAGCAATGCCCCGTTCCAGTGGTAAACCTGCCATGACCACCCTCCTTCCTCCTTCCCCACTGTCAGAGTTTCCAGCAAGAAGGAACTGAGGTGGGGGGAACCAGCAGCGCCCCTTATACCACGGCATACAGGCACCATTCTAGAGGGCATGAGCAACACGTCTCAAAGAACACCAGTTACAAAAATGTAACTGTCTTTTCCATTCCATTAATGGTTGAATAGTTCAGGAGCTAGGAGTCCTGCAGGACTCCACTAGATACGTCCTCCCAGTATGACAGTGAATCATTGATAACTGCTCTTTGAATATGGTTTTTCAACCAATTGTGCACATACTTCATAGTAATTTCATCTACACCATGTTTTCCTAATTTTCTTATGAGAATGTCATGTGGGATTATCAAAATGTCAAGATAAGTCATGTTATCTGCTTATACCTATCCAGTTGGCCAGTAACTCTGTGAAAGAAAGAAATGGTGTGACTATCAGAGATGCTACCCACAGCTTCTTCCACTATCATCAGTGAGAAATATGAGTGCTACATACATCTAAAAATTAAGCCATACATTTATTATTTAAATATCCATTGTGATAGACTGACAATATCTTGGAATTATGAATAATCTTATGGAATTAAGATAAACTTTATTGAGTTAAGTTACACCTTGCTGAGTTCGGATTAACATCTTTTGAGGTGAATTGTATTAAAAATACAGTTGTGTATGTGTTGCTGTGACATTATATGTACCTTCTCTAGTAGGGAGGGGGGATGCTAATGAACTTCCTCCATTATTAGAAGTTCCTTTGAAGTTTCCCTGGAGAGAGATGCATATACTAATTCAACCTGGATTCTCCAGAGACCAACAGACAAAGAACAGACTTTTGGGTAAAAACCTTCATTTTCAGCTGACTTGGGGCCTTCTTCCTGATCCAGCAAATGGACAGGGCCCCTGATCCACAGAAGCCCCCAATCCTTAAGGGAGGATAGGAAGAACTTGGCGTACTGAGGCTTCATAAGACTGAGCTGAAGCTTTGATGAACTTGTTACCACAAGGATGCTCTTACGATGGGTTATTAAAAGACTGCAGTTGTCAGAGCCCCTGTGAGAGTTGGTATGAACTCTGATAAGTTTATTAACATATATGTAGGTTCTTCTATTGTTTTTAATATTTTTTCTGTAATGCTTTGTACCTTAAGAATAGAGTAGGCTTGCTTAGAAAGAACAGTGTGGTAAATTATATCTGTTCTCTGTCTCTGAAGAGAAAGCAAGCAGGTGGCCTAGGGAACCTGTCTGTGCTGGGAATTATACAGCAGAGGCAAGGGAATAGGGCAGTCTGGGAGTACCTGGTCAGAAGGAGGAGAGAGGTGCATCTCCACTCAAGAGAGGCAACAGCTGGGGAGCTGAAAGCCTGAGAGTTGGGTACTCTTGCTGAACCCTTGAGTGGAAATACCAGTGCATTTGCCCCGAACTCTGACATCCGCATTTAGAGAGGTACATTCTTGCAGATTAACGTATATCCCAGGATTACAATATCACCAAAGAATAATGGGCTCTATCTGTTGAGGCACGGCCAATGGATTTATTTTCAAATCCATTTGCCCTGTAATAGTGTGGAATTACAGAGCCATGATTTCTGGTATATCAAATTGCCCTTATATTATAATGTTAAGTGTAATGGTATGACACCCATAGTGTACTTTTTAGTAACGACCTCCTATACTTTTTTGCTTTGGTTCCAAATGTGGCAGATTTTTTGCTGAGTTAACAATCTTAGTGCTGCATTCCTCCAGAATCCCCTGTAGACTTCAGAACACAGGCTGCACTCTTTTTCTGGTAATTGTATATGTTAGGACTTTTGGTTCACAAGACATCTTGTAACTTTTTTTAAAACATTCTGGAGTTTCACCAACTGCATTTTATTTTGTGAAGCCTGGACACTTCCTTTATAGAACATTTTAAAGCCTTTCCCATATGACTCTGTCTTTTGCTTTAGGTACCTCTTATGACTCCTGTTTGAAAGGGGGAGGGGTGTATATGCAGATCCTTGATCCACCCCATTAATCCCAGAGAGGAAGTGAGTGTAAAGATGCCAGAACCTGAAGTAGTACCAAGTGTCACCTCCTCCCTTTGTCTGTGTATGGTAGTGACCACCCCCTTCGGGTCTCTATTTCTTTTTGAGGATAGTGGCTGCCACCTCCCCATCCTTCTCTCTTCCGGAGGAAATATTTTCCTCTAAGTCTGTTACCCTAGAGGCTGTAAAAGTCAGCAGACCAGAGGACAGTTTTTCAAGCTGCTTCTTTGGAATGGGTAAAGCTGTTTGCCATCTGAAGATCCTTTACCTGGAAAAGAGAGAGTATTGGTCTTTCTTGATGCCCTCCAAAGAAGAGATGAGAAGATGAACACAATCACCCTGGAAGACAAGTGGGAATGTTGCCTCTGCATGTTCTCCCACCTTCCCACCCTCCTATTCCTTATGCTGGGGTTGGGCTCCACCCAGTAGAGTGAAAGTAGTTATTAGGTGGGATTGGCTTTAGGGAAGTCGACCAGTAGTAGTATTCCTCACTTTGAAGTAGGGTATGGAATTTGGATACAGCCTGGGTTCCCAGAAGAATAGCTGAAGACTCAGGAGTCACTGATGTGCTGGTACGTTGGCAAAATGTTCTAGTCCTGATGTACTGGTCCGTACCAGTCCAATTTGAGCTCTTCCAAGGGCTGCTTTTAATTTGACTCTTAAGCTAGAAGTTTAATTATAGGAAGGAAGTGAATACTTGTGCATGGGGTGCGGTACAGATGCACAAAATGTTATTTTTAAAGGGGGTGTTTGAGTCTGAAAGCTTTCTATTCAACACTTGATAAAAGAGGGTCTGGTTCCAGAAATGCGGAAGGGAAACCTAGCTAACAAAATGAATCATAACAGTTCCTTTAAACTCCAACTGGAGAAGCAAAAGATAGCCATAGTCTCTGCTGTTCCTCTGGCATAGACCTCTCTATGTACTGTTGTCTCCTAACTTGTAAATTGTACTCTGTCAAGATGCACAGACTGAATTCCCATTCTGAGGAGATAAAATGATGCAAAAAACTCAGTGAATCTGAGACCGACTGACTTGAAAATATCATCTGCTATGAGGATTTACTTATAATACTTACTCCTGAGGGCATTCTGTGCAAAAAATTAAAAAATCTGCGCCAAAAAATTCTGTGCACAATATTTAAAAATTCTGCAAAATTCTGCAAGTTTTATTGGTCAATAAATAAATGCAGAGGCTCCAACATGGCAGTGGGGAGCACAGGCGACTGGCTGCATGAAGGTGGAAGATCACCCGACAGCCCCCCAATCCGCAAGACATGGACTCAGCGATGAGGCTGCACCCCACTCCGACACAGCACAAGGCCTAGGCCTGCCCCAGAAACACCCTGGGGCTCTGCCCAGGTATACCAGGTGTGGGGCAGATAGGCTTAACCAGGCAGGATTCAAGTGTGGAGGGGCTCAGTGAGGGGTAAATGCGTCATGAGCTTTTGAAATTCCATCCATGCTAAGCGGATGTTTGGAGTTTTGTGCTGGCTTTGTTAACAAGAGGCAGTTCCTTGCCTCATTTTATTACTAATATTGATTTAAACCTGCAACAAATGACCATTCGGAGGGCTGACAAATCTGTCCCTTAACAGGGTGGCTGTTTAATAAAAGTGGAGCAGAACAGTACAGTTTGAGGGTATTTTTGAATGGTCTCAAGACAGGAGGTTTGCTAATAAATTGTTAAACTATTGCATAGGTTTTGTTGTATATGCATTTTCATGGTATTATACTTTTTTGTAAATCTCATATATTGCATTGAAACTTAACTCATACTAATATCTTTCATTTACGTGGAGTTAAATCTCTATACGAAACCACCCTTATTAGACAGTTTCCTGTTTCACTAGTCTTCCCAGAGTATCCTCAAATGCACTGAGTACAGTTCTTCTCCACCTTTAGTGAGCTACCTCTATTATAAATTTATTTGTATTGCCCATAGAACCTAGGAGCTCTAGTCATGGTAAGCATCCGATCTTTGCTGGTCTCTTAAATAGTCTTTCAAGACAGGTTTCACTTTGCATAAGAACATAAGAACGGCCATACTGGGTCAGACCAAAGGTCCATCTAGCCCAGTCTTCCGACAGTGGCCAATGCCAGGTGCACCAGAGGGAATGAACATAACAGGTAATCATCAAGTGATCCATTCCCTGTCGCTCATTCCCAGCTTCTGGGAAACAGGCTAGGGACACCATCCTGCCCATCCTGACTAATAGCCATTGATGCACCTATCCTCCATGAACTTATCTAGTTCTTTTTTGAACCCTGTTATAGTCTTGGCATTCACGACATCCTCTGGCAAAGAGTTCCACAGGTTGACTGGATGTTGTGTGAAGAAATACTTCCTTTTATTTGTTTTAAATCTGCTGCCTATTAATTTCATTTGGTGACCCCTTGTTCTTGTGTTATGAGGAGTAAACAACACTTCCTTATTTACTTTTTCCACACATATGCGTGTGTGTGTGTGTGTGTACGTACACTCATACTGCTCAATTAAAGTTAGTTCAGCACACCAGTAATTTTTTATTCACGTATCTCATCTTCGTGCCTTCTCCACATGAGCTGCAGAACAAAGTTAATAAGATCTGCAAGTTGGATACTACTGCAGTATCCTTTGAAACTCTAGAACATGATAAATTTTAATGTATTGAACTGGGAGGGTAATTTATTTGTCTCGAGGGAAGCAAGAGCCCAGAGAACTGCATGATTTTATGTCATCTCATTCACAATTGAAATGTGGTGTTGAAAGCTATTTTTTTTCCCCTCATTGCAGATATTGAAAAATATCACTTGGTACTCAGAGCGTGTTCTAACCGAGATTTCACTGGGGAGTCTCCTGATACTGGTGGTGATAAGAACCATTCAGTACAACATGACAAGGACAAGGGTAAGGGTTATATTTAGAACTTACATATGTCGGGTATATCTGTGGTCTTCCATCAGCTGGAGTTCAGTTCCAAACAGTGGTAAAAAACAAAAGTGAACCTTTTTGCAGCAAATGAGCACCTAAACACAGTGGGGGAGGCAGAAAAAAAGTCAGCACTCAGGTACAGTATGAAGTGCTTCTGAATGTGTAAAGCAATTTCTGTGATATCATTCAGTTCAGCTGCTTTGATTACTAACACACAAAGTCCAGTCATAGTAGTAGTTGCATAGTTCCTGAAAAACGTAATAGATTTCTGATCAGAGAAAAAAATACCAGCATACCATATAATTAAATTACGTGTGGGATTTTTCACCTATGTTAAATTATCCAGAAGTACGGATTTGGGTTCCTTGTTATTTGATAATATAGTTTTATAAACAGATGTGGAAATTGGGGTGGAAGAAAATTACTTCTTTTCTTCTGAAAAGTATAATGAGTATAATTTGAGAGATCTGTGGAAAAGCATGGTTCTTTCAAATACGTTCCCCATCATGCATAATTTCACTTCTGACTTCCCTAAAATCCATTAGGTTATATTTCGTGGATCTTCGAATTAGGGGCACTTCAGGTGTATCTCTCTAATGTGTGTAGCAGACATGTAAACTACATTAAAGACTTCTGTATGTTTCTTTCATTGCTGAAAATGTTGAGAAGTTTTTGCAATAAAATTAACTAAAGCATGGTGTTATTTGTACTAGATCAAAGAATTTAAAACTAAAATCACCATATATATGGTCACACCAAACAAATAGATGAGATAATTATATGGTAATAATACTAACGCCACCTCCATTAACAACTTAAAACAGACGGTAATTGGCTGAAATTTCTATTTCATGAGATAACAGACACAATGAGATGGAAGGAAAGGAAGCTGATACTGGTTGCAGAGTTTATATTGGATTAAATGTAAGCAATACTTTGTCAAGTAAGATTTTATAAACAGGAATAAGAGTTTGCGAGCCATTTAACCAGTAAATGGTTTCTTGTAAATAGGCTGCATTTTGGTATTAAATTCCAAATATTTATCAGATTTACCTCTGGTTTAAGTTAGAGGCTTTACAGAATATTCAGTTGGAACCAGAAACTCCCCCCGTTCTTTCCCCTCCTCTCCCTCCCCCCCCCTTTTTTTTTTGAGTCATGGCTAAGTTCTAGCCAACAATGCTGAATGAATCTTCTTGGTCACAAGAAGAGCTTTATACTTAGAATTCCTGTGCTCCCATGTTCAATCTAGCCTTGTTCAAGGCAAGGCAAGTGCAGGTGACATAGGAAATGGAATTTTGACTCTATATCTGATTTCAGCCTATTGTATTGATTGCCGGGCACTGGCAGAATAAGTAGTAGAAGGAGCCAGAGGCCACTTCATGTTTACATCAGTTAGATAGGAAGATACTTGGAATTTATATGTGGCATTGGGGGTCTGTGTTACTCTTAGGGAGAATAAATGCACATTTTAGTCCTAAGTAGGGAAGTGGGACTCTTAATGAAGGAAATCATTAAACATTGCTCCATGTTGTAGAGGTGTTGGTCAAACATATGACTAAAGATAAAGCCTGGGAGTGGAGAATCTAATTTTCTGCAAAAGGTGAGGATACAATGAGCAACCCCTACCACTTTTAATATCTATTACAGTAAATTAATCCCTCCAATATGCTTCTTAAGATTTATTCTCTTCCCTTGAAGAATAGCACAATCCATGTTTACTTGCCTCTCCCCTGTGAGCAGGATCAATAAATATTGCATAAGCCATAGGATTGTGGATTCCACCGTTTTATCTGTGCTATGCAGTTCTCTGACTGAGCCAGTGTTTAAACATTTATCTGGAAAGATGGTAGTTAAAATGGGCTTCAGAAACTCCAACTATAGAGGAGCAGAACTTATGAAGTACCGTATTAGCGGTAGTTGTGGAGAAGTTGTTTTGAAATAATTAATATGGAGGTCAAAGAATATAGGGCAAAAAGGATTGGGTAAGGTTGGAGATAATTGGGGCAAAGGAAAGGAGAGAATTAAAAAGCAGAAGAGACTATTTTCTCTACCATTTATCAGTTATATTCATGATCCCATTGTATATCAACTTCGATTTTAAAATATATATGTACAGTGAAATCTGTACAAGAGACCACCCTTATTAGGCAAATTCATGTCTAAAGAGACCATTATTAAAGCATCTCTAAATATATAAAGTGCATTTCTGCTCCACCTTCATTAGAAGACCACCTCTGTTAAGCAACGGATGTTTGTAAGTCCTTGGAGTGGTTTCTTATGACAGGTCTCAGTGTATATGAAAAGGACAGTTTGATGTGTTTTTCCCCCCTCTTTTCCAACAGGACAAATACCTTCATACAAATTGTCTGGCAGCCTTAGCAAATATGTCAGCACAGTTCCGCTCACTTCATCAGTATGCTGCTCAGAGAATCATCAGGTAAATATAAGCCTTTTAAAAATATTTAAACTGGTCTTCCAGCTAAATTCAGAGGGAAAGGGACTTGACTTTTCTATGACTGAATAGATATAAGTGAAATTGGAATTAAATTATACCAGATAAATCTTATTTCCTTTCATGAAGTCTGAGTTACGTTTTGAGTTAGTGACAAATATTATGAATCTTTATCAAAGAAACTTTCGATATTTTTCTGTTCTCCATAGAGCAGCCATAGCAATTGCTTTTAAACTGGAATATTTTTCAGTCACTTGTTCTGTTATGACAAAAATGCAATGTGTGATAGTTCTCCAGAACATTGCTAACTGGACTTTCAACTTAGTATATTTCTGCCTTTATTTTTAATGTAGACAAAACATAGCCATTCCTTTGTGATGGGGTGTTGTGCACTTTTTGCAGTTTACTTACTTTTGTGCCTTTTTGAATGATCAAGTTCACTAGCCTGTCTTGTAACAAGTCAGTTAATGTCAGCTTGTGTTCTAATAAAAGGGACACAGCTTTCATAGAGTCTTAGATATAGAAGATGGGAAGGACCAAGTTCCACCAGTTCCAGAGGCCACCATGTAGTTGCAGGTACTGGTGTGGGATGTGCCCACTTTATTTTAGCAGCTCATCTACTCAGTGCTCCAAGGGAAACCAAAAAGGTCCACGACATTACATCCTGGGGAAAAATTTTACAATGCTTGGCAAATACAGATTTTATGCCAAAAATAAGTTCAAAATATCACACATTTCTTTGATAAGTGTGTATGTACTGTGACAGACCCAGACCAGTGGGGTACAGGAGTCTGGTAGAGGGCAAATATACTGGTCACTGGATGAGTAGTTTTCTGTTCCCTGAGTGACCAGAGCAGGGGCTGTACTAGAGTAATCAGGAACCTGCTAGAACCAGTTAAGGCAGGCTGCATGCTAAAGGAGTTGGCGGATGTGATTGCAGAGCCATTGGCCATTATTTTTGAAAACTCATGGCGATCGGGGGAGGTCCCAGATGATTGGAAAAAGGCTAATGTAATGCCCATCTTTAAAAAAGGGAAGGAGGAGTATCCAGGGAACTACAGGCCAGTCACCCTCACCTCAGTCCCTGGAAGAATCATGGAGCAGGTCCTCAAGGAATCAATTTTGAAGCACTTTGAAGAGAAGAAAGTGATCGGGAACAGTTAGCATGGATTCACCAAGGGCAAGTCATGCCTGACTAACCTAAGTGCCTTTTACAATGAGATAACTGGCTCTGTGGATGAGGGGAAAGCAGTCTACGTGAACCTGCCAGCTCTCCTGAACCTCTTTTATCCTTAGATTTTTTTTTCCCAGGGGACCTGACCTTACCAAGTCTCTGAGTTTGTTAAAGCCTCCTTGTTGATGTCCATTGTCCTTATTCTGCTGCTGTCACTCTTTCCTTTCCCTAGAATCATGAAGTGTATTATTTCATGCTCACTTTCACTCAAATTGACTTTCACCCCAGATTCGCAACCAATTCCTCCCTGTTAGTCAGAATCAAGTCTAAGACGGGTGTCCCTTGGTTACTTCCTCCACTTCTGAAACAAGAAGTTGTTCTCAGTACATTCCAAGAACCATTTTGTATTTTCCCACAGTACTTTTCCAACAGATGTTTGGGTAGTTAGTCCCCCATTAATACCAGGTCTTGTGTTTTGGGTGTTTGTTCTAAAAATGCCTTGTCCTCCACCTCCTCCTGATTTGGTGATCTGTAGTAGACTCCTATCATGACGACATCCCTGTTTTTTCCCCTTTTACTTTCAGCCAGACTTTCAACTAGTTTGCCTCTCATCTCCCTCTGGATCACAGAACAAGTATATATATTCTTGATGATTAATGCAACACCTCCTCCCTTTTTTCCCTGTCTGTACTTCCTGAACAAACTATCCCCCAAATACCAATAATTCCAGTCATGAGATTTATCCCACCAAGTCTCAGTGATGCCAGTTAAGTCATAATTTAGCTTATGCCCTAATACTTGCATTTCTTCCTGTGTATTCCTCATGCTCCTTCCATTTTTGTATAGACATCCAAGCCATTGAACAGATTCCCCCATGTTTTCCCTTTTGCTGCTCCTGTGGCTCGATTGTAATTTTCCATTCCCACCCCCAGCATCTAGCCCTTTATTAAGGCCACCCTTTTTTGTACATATCTGTGGACTTTTGTCTCCTGGTCCCTTTGAACCTAGTTTAAAGCCTTCCTCACTAGGTTGGTGACTCAGGATACATCTACACAGCAATTAACCACCCCCGGCTGGCTAGGCTCAGCTGACTTGGGCTTCTGGGGCTTGAGCTGTGGGGCTGTACAATTACTGTGAAGACGACTGGGTTTGGGTTGGAGCCCAAGCTCTGGTACACTGCTAGGCGTGTTTCTGCCTGGGTCCCTACCCTTAATTGTGAGGATGGCCAAGAATACAATCACCTTCACTCACAGACCCCTGATATGCTCTGGGTCATAGGCAGTATCATTAGTTCCCACATGAATGAGCAGCATGGGGTAGTGGTCAGAAGGATGAACCTCGGCAACCTTTCTGTAATGTTTCAGACATGGGCTCCAGGCAGGCAGCACACCACCCAGGACATCATGTCAGGTCAGCAGATAGATGCCTCCATTCCCCTCACGGGGGAGTCCACAATCACAAACATCCTATTTCTTCTCCTCTTTGAGTGTGGAGTCAGAGTCCCCCAGCCTCATGGCAGATGGCTCCTTTTCCTCAAACTTTTGTTGCCAGTACCGTATATAGGTTCTTGACCTCAATGGATCGGGATGTTTGCCCAAGGTGACCAGCAGGTAATCTCATCGCAGAGTAGCCTGTTCTTCATCCTCTGGTCCCTCTGTACTCTGTGTGTCATGATACCGTATCACACGTATATCATAAGAGTTAAATATTTGTAGGGGTACTCTTTGTGTTCATCCCTCTTTTCATACCCCACAATCGAATAGTCACTGTGATTAAACTGTTTCAGCACCCAGTGGACCCAACTGCTCCATGTTCTGTGGTAGGAATAAAGCAGAATTATATTTATATCTAGATTCTTATTCTGAACTCATCAGAATACGAATGTCTCTCTGAAGGGAAATTAAGAAACTGTCTCATAATAAAAAGGTGCCCTGAATGAGGGCCACAGGAAAGCCCTAAAATGCAGCTAATACTTTACAACTACATATTTTTTATTTTAGGATGTACAGTTTTAAAATAAAATATCTAATAGCTTAGCCATACAACAAAATGCAGACAGTCATAATTCAAGTCTCACCAGATGCTCTAATAATTCCTCCTTTAATGTGAGAAGTAAATTCAGTTTTCATGCAAGCTTTTTCCTAATTCTCTTCTGAGCAGAGACTGCCAATTTTTTTAAATTTTGAAGACTATTGTCCGTTAAAGACTGAGAATATCTAATATAGTGCACGTAGGATCTCAATAAAATATAACTTTATAACATCAGAAAATTTACATCACATTCCTGCAAACATCAAACTTGACAGATTTGTGTAAATATTTTCATTATGTTTAGCTGCTGGGAATGGAAATGGATATAACATTATTTATAATAAAATCCTTGACAGCACTCAATTAATATTGGATACATCCTGTATTGAAGAGTGTGGAGAGCCTTCCCATCTCTTAACTGTTAGGATACTCTTCATTGTTTACATTGCTCATTAATTACACACAATTTTTTTACAATGTGCTAAGGATATTATCTGCCACCATCTAACTCTGACAAAGTGGGTATTCACCCACGGAAGCTTATGCTCCAATACTTCTATTAATCTATAAGGTGCCATAGGACTCTTTGTCGCTTTTTACAGATCCAGACTAACATGGCTACCCCTCTGATACTTAACTCTTTTTGTATTTGGAGAGCACTGACAAATGTAGTGTCCAGAATTATACTGGTAGATTACACTAAAACTACCTTGCTTATATTTTCTTCTCTGTTGTCAGTTACTTCTCAAGTTAAAAACAGTGAAATTAATCAAAGGTCCTATATTATGCTTGGTAGAAGTACAGAAACTCCCAAATGCATGTATTATTTAGATCTGGATTCATGGGGTGCTTTTTGTTTTGTTTGTGACCTTTGCAATTTTTATAAAAACAAGAAGTTTTATTTTTAGAAGTTTATCTTGGTGAAATATTTTAAACAGCTAGAGATAAAATAACCCACAGGAACTGAAAACCGAGAGGTAGGGTGCAGATTGAGAAGTGGTGTTTAATGCCTTGGGTAACTTATATGTATAGAGTTTGAATTTTCATTTGGTTTTGTTTTATAGCAGTCTTATGAAGTTAATCAGTCTTATAAGGACCAATCCTGCAATGTGCGTGGAACTTTCAATTCCCATTTCTTTCAAGAGGAGTTGAAGAATATCTGCACTTTACAGGATCTAAAGCAGAAAGTAACTTCAAGATAGCTTAATGTCTCTCACCAGTTCCTCAGAGGTGAATTGTTGTAGTAACGTTTTTTTTGGGGGGGGGGGGTCTTTTTTACTCCAAACCCTAACTTTCTTCAAAAAGGATCTTTGTATTTAGAAGTGGAAGATGTTTTGAGGAAGAGCAGAACATTTTCCTTTCAAGTTTTGCTCCCTGAAAAGTGCTGTTGATTGTGGGTAGCCCAATTTTACTGCATTTCTGCCCTGTTTGTCCATTACTATGCCTATATGAAACAGGAAGGTTTATTCAATTAGTACAGTACATGTTTTCTGTCGAAAAGTAAAAACATTTGTGCAGCAGCAAGATGCATGTGATCTGAGCTGCTTATTAGGAGTGTTGTTGGACTTAGAATCCTGAAATTAGTAGTCTAAAAATAAGGTGGGAGATTAGAAATCTCTGATTGGTTAATAAAGTTTCCAAGCAGTGACATTACCAAAACATAATTACTAGCTCAGAATTCATTAGGCTGCTGGCACAGGAAGATAAACAAATGGATATACCACACTGCTTTACCCAATGTGAGCATTCCAGTCTTCCTGCCTATTTATTTTTTTCTTTG